ACCCAGGACGCGATATATTTTATCCTAGGACGCGTATGTACTTTATCGTCATACCCAGGAAGCGATATAGTTTATCCTAGGACGCGGATGTATTTTATCGTCATACCCATGACATAATGTATTTTATCGTGATACCCAGGACGCGGTATAGTCTATCCTAGGACGTGTATGTACTTTATCGTCATACCCAGGACACGATATATTTTATCCTAGGACGCGGATGTACTTTATCGTCATGCCCAGGACGCGATGTACGTTTATCCTAGGATGCGGATGTACGTTATCTTCATACCCATGACACGATGTATTTTATCGTATTACCCAGGACGCTGTATAGTTTATCCTAGGATGCGAATGTACTTTATCGTCATATCCATGACACGATGTATTTCATCGTATTACCTAGGACGCGGTATAGTTTATCCTAGAATGCGGATGTATTTTATCGTCATACCCAGGACGTGGATATAGTTTATCGTCATAAGCAGGACGCACACATATTGGACTTGAGAAAGATATAGGAAAATAGTTTTAACAGAAACGTTTTTATAAATTTCAACAGACATTCGTACTGGTTGCTCGGTCAATATATGCCAAATGATTCTTTATAAGATCTGATACAGCTGATGTCTAATCAGTGAAACATGAACTAAAGTAGACATTTCTGAGCAATTAGGATACCAAGCATTATATCCATATGAGAGACTGGATTTGTGGAGACTATTTAAGACCATGACTAGTGATTTGAGGTTAATATTTTAGTATTTTAGCCTCTTTTGGTGTTGGACAAAACTACCACTAGTGCGGCTTATCTTGTGTTTTTTTCTTATGTCCTATATTAAATTTGTTATAATTGTTCCACACCCCAAAGTATTTGAGGTAGTTATAATGGATTTTCGAACACGTTGCCGAGGTCGGGACAAGTGGTACGCAGCGCATTGTAATACGTGTACTTTATCACCAAGGATCAGAAGTCGATATCCTGCAAAAAAGCTAACCGATATTGACTATTCAGACGACCTAGCTATCACTGCAGACACCATTATCAATGCCACAGTTCTCCTACATCATCCCCCAAAAAATGCTGCTAACGATATCAATGATTGTAAAAGTGAATCGATAAACTTCAGCCAACAAGGCTTAATACTATCTACCTAGGAAGCGAAATAAATTATAGTGAAAAGGATGCGAAAATTCGCATAGCTGAAGCCTGGACCGATTTGAATAAAATTAATGTAATATGTAAATCTGATTTACCAGACAACATCAAAAATAGATTCTTTCGAGATGCTGTAGTGGTGGTAAGATTGACAGAACCTACATCAGGTTTTTACATCTCTAGTTACAAAGGAATTTGGTTTCTTTTATTTTTTATACAAGTTTTTGTGGGTTAGTTTTAGATTGATGTGAGGTAACAGTGGGGAAATAAATTAAAGTTATGGAACCTTATGTTGTCTTTTTCTTAATTATTTGCTCTGTTGTTACATTGAGCTCGCTGGATTACATCTTCTTTGGAATTATCCACACGGATTACCAAACTTACCTTACTACATATATATGAACATTTCTCGGACATTCAGGCCGGTAAATGCTATTTAATACTGTTTATTATAAACAGAGCATTTACTTAAATATTTCTATCTATAAAAAGTATGTTAAACATAAAAATGTCTTAAAATAATTGTCGGACTTTGTCTATTTCATGTGTGACGTCATTTGTTTACATTTGATACGCCATGAGCAGATATGAATGTACGTGAGAGATTCATGGATGATTGAAGTTTAAATACAGTAAATTCGACCTTGATAACCAATCGATCCTCTGTGGCGAAATCGGTAAAAGCACGTCAGGCTAAATGACGGTTCCATATATAATACAGGTTCGAATCCTGTCGGAGGACGAATATTTTCTATGAAAATTTCTCGGACATTCAGGCCGGTAAATGTTATTTAATACTGATTATTACAAACAGAGCATTTACTTAAATATTTTATCTATAAAAAGAATGGTAAACATAAAAATGTCTTAATATATATGTGCGTATGTATATAAATATATGTATGTATTTTTATATATTTATATATTATATATCAGCAGTACTTATTGGAAATCGCTCAATATCAGTGATAGAGCTAACATATTTAGTTTGTCTGCAAATAGCATGAAACGCAGGATCACAAACTCACGTCTATCCAACTAAGACTTAACTGTATCCAATAATAATCACATATTGATTTCGTATTATAAATAACAAATATAGCGAATATGCAACTTTTCCATTGTTTACGTTTATAAGAAGTCAACACCCAGTTTGTTCGATGTTAAACGCAAGAGTTAGAACTGATACACATACGTTGTCATAGCAAGTATGTAGGCCCATTTCCATTGCTTGGGAAAATGATCTCTTCGTCACTGAGGCCCGTTGAAACAGTTGGTATGATGTTTGCTTGACAACCTGTCAGGGTTTCAATTCTCGGTAGTGGATACGCACTGTTGATGAGTCCCAAATATAGGGCGAAACAGCCGTCCAGTGCTTTCTGCATTCTGTTGAGGTTTCTTTCAGACTCGATGAATTACTTAAATATAATTATCAAATCCTCCTAATAATTTCTCATATATATAATTTAAAAGAAATTCTCAAGAAATGGTGAATTTTAAATGGCAGAATTAATATAAGAATGGCTCCGGAATGGAAATTCTCTTTGAAAACCAAGGCTTGATTATTTTAAATGTGCCGGCTTGAAACTAGCAAACGATTTTCTATCATTAAATATAATAGAGTTCGTTATTAGACAAATTTATTTTAAACTTTGTGATATCTGTCACATATAATTTAGACTGAAATATGTTGCAGTAATCTACTAAATCTACACACACACACACACACACACACACACACACCCCCCCCCCACATATATATATATATATATATATATATATATATATATATATATATATATATATATATATAGATACACCTAGTGAGCCAGACAAACCTACCTAGGTTTCACCTAAACGGATCGTCAGGGAAAGTTTGGTCTGCTCTACGGTTGTATTGAGCTCTTTTGTTAGTTAGTTGTTACTCGTATCGGGGTTTTTTCTTTGGGCTTCAGACCTGCATCTGTGCGATTTTTTTGTCGGCAGAAGTTCATGTTTGTAGCTCTTTCTTTTTTTAAAACCTTTTTTTCCCTCGAGATTGATTTGATTAGCAAATCAAAAATTCGTAGGTTTTTCGAAACGAGTCTAGTTATCTTATATATATATATATATATATATATATATATATATATATATATATATATATATATATATATATAACGCTCAAATAGTATCAAGTTTTATTCTGCGAAATAAAAGAATAATCGTGTAAAGAGGATTTTGAGTCCGGACACGGGCAATAGGCAACTCGTTAATACATCAGAGTAATCTATTGCTCAATACATTATTAATAGCAGGATTTGTATCACTGACTTTAGAGTGGACCGTTTTTTGTTTTGTTTTTTTATTCTATCAAGATCCCACTCTTTATATCATCTCAAGATCCTGGAATTCTTACAGATCAGATCCTGAAAGCCTTCCCTCTGTAAACAGACGGATTATTTGCTGGGTCTGAATATTATTGGTCTCTAGTTTTTTTTTTCATTCATTTGTCATCTTTAATTTATTTACACGTTTATTCTTTTATTTCCCAGAATAAAACTCGATAAGACTTGGACGAAACCAGAAAAATTTACACGGATATGCCTTTTAAATTACGCTCATTCCTTGATCTATATATATATATATATATATATATATATATATGAGTTGATTTAAAATATGTTTTTGTTTCGCTACACAGTTCTAACCACGTTTCAAAAATGGAAGCAAAAAGCTACGAATTTAATTTTGTAATTAAATTAAAGAAAAATTCGCTTGAGGATGAAATGGAACTAATGTCTTTAATTTAATTACAAAATTAAATTCGTAGCTTTTTGCTTCCATTTTTGAAACATGGTTAGAACTGTGTAGCGAAAAAAATATTTTAAATCAATTAATTTATAATATTAATGCTCTGTAAATTTACATTGAGCACTATTTTGTGAAAATAAAATTATCTAACACCGGATTATATATCTTACTGTTCTTTCTTTTTATTTATATATACATAAACAATATTTACCGGCCTGAATGTTCTGAATCTCCCTGGACCGAATATACAGAGACTCAAGTGCCCTCAAATGAAATGGAGGTTTACTGTACTGTCCAGTTCACACTCTCCATTTCATTTGCGGGCACTTGAGTCTCTGTATATTCGGTCCAGGGAGCCGTCTCTTTGCAAGCAAAAAGACTGTCTCCTTGGGCTTCACGTTATTAGACTCTAGTGTTTATCATACATTCCCCTCACACTCCCCATTTTTTTTTCCTTTGTGCTGTGCATATTTGCGCGGTTTGAAATATTTTTTTCTTCCTCATACCATTAATCATTTCATTTTTTAATGTTTTAATTGTATGTAGGGTGTTTGTGTGAGTCAATATATATTGCAATAATTGTTAAATTGTTCCCAGTCGACCCTGATGAGCTTGGGAACGAAACTGGTTGGTCTGTTCTGTAAGTGTTACCATCTCTTTATTTTTTTTATTTTTCATAATGCCTTTAGGAAAAATTTGTATCTATTCCTTGCAATATATATATATATATATATATATATATATTAAATACATAATGGTCATAGCATCACGATTCCAGATAAAACGAAAGGAATATGCAATGAAGAAAAGTCACCCAATTTCAAAAGTTTCCAATGAGAAATAAGAACTTTAAAAATCATTGTCAAAAGTGTAATAACTTTTCTTTACTTAAAAAATCTGAACTTTCGCGATGTGACAATGTCTTTCTTTATTCGTTTTACTTTTTAAAAATCGTGTTAAATGTAATGAGGCATTATGTTGGTTTGTTCATCGCAATAATAGAAACATTTAATTCAACGCGTCGAATAAGAAATGATTTGAAAACGAATCAGAAGGGAAAAATATGGAGAGGAAAGAAAAGAGAGGCCCGAAAAAGCCAGAGATGGCGGCTTTGAATATCAGCAGAGGAAAAGAATTGACTCTCGAAGTATTCCTTTGCATCTAGAACAGGGTAAACCGGAATAGAATAAATTTTAAAAAAAAAAAGAGAAAATGAAAAGAGATTTTTTTTCTTTTTTTTTTTCACGGAATAAAAGAATACGAATAAAAGAATAAAAAAAAGAACAAAAATTCAAACGAGATTTCGTACAAAGTTGATCGTGAAGAAATAACTGAAGAACAAAACAAAACGCAATGAAAGGAAGAATATTCTTACATAATGACACTAAGACGACAAACGACTTGCTTAAAGAAAGTAGAGCCCATAGGTACTTTTGCATATAGACACATAATTAAATAATATAGACAAGTTTTGCCCATTTATTTTAAGCAAATTCCTTTCATATCGTCTGAGAAGCTTAATAACATTATCATTGAAATATATATATATATATATATATATATATATATCATACTTATTATTATAAAACCCAGGTGTGTGTGTGTGTGTGTGTGTGTGTGTGTGTGTGTGTGTGTGTGTGTGTGTTCGTTTATATATTGGATCGGATTTCCTACATTTTTCAACCGATTTCAACAAAACTTCACAGGACTACATAAAATTACCTTGCGGTGGTTCTGACAGTGCCAAAAAATTGGAAAAACACAATTGTTTTTGCACGAAATCAATTTGAAAACACGATTAAGAGGCATCGCTGTCGCGAGAATGAAAGGGGGACAACTCATATCGAGTTATATTATTGGCGGTTGTGCACAATATCGGAATAATAATAGCACATTCTCAAAAAAAACATCTTTCGGTCTACAAACAATTATTTCGTCTCCAGGTTTTTGATTTTATAAGGAAAAGATATGCCTGACGATGAATAAAGGATTATTCGAAAGTACTTGCATTTTAAAAAAATTTAAACTGGAAACAACAGACAACATAAATTTTATAAATGAGGATCACATCACTCTATAGATTAACAGTATTTTAATGCATACATTATACACTACTAGCGATGGATGTCGCCAATAATAGCATTAATATTGCTGATTGATTCTATACGTGATTATTTCTTTGTATATAAATTATATGCTGCCTAATGTTACATATATATACACGTTTCATTAAGTGTTGTCTATTTTATGTAAATTCTTTTCATTACGCCTGATAAGTTTATTAACATTATCATTAAACGAAGAAAGAAATTCACAATATTGGTCCATATTTTTTAATACAATCTAAGCTTTCGGCTTACATAAACCATTATCAAAGATATATATAGATAGATAAACCTAGTGAGACCGACAAACCTACCCAGGTTTCACCTAAGCGGATCGTCAGGGAAAGCTGTATTTTTTTCTCTTTGGGCTTTGGACCTGTATGCTGTACGATTATTTTCGACAGACGTTCATGTTTCATAGCTCTTTCTTTTTTAAAACCTTCGAGATTGATTTGACCATTAGCAAATCAAGAAACCGAAGGTTTTCGAGACGAGTGTAGTTACCTATATATATATATATATATATATATATATATATATATATATATATATATATATATATAAAGAACTATAAGAAGGCAAATAATAATGGCCTCAACATGTTGGAGAATATTAATACTAGCAGTAAAAAAAATCACAGACAAAGTGAAGATTAGTTATAGAGTAGGTCAACTAAAGGAAAGAGAGTGCTATATAACCTTAAAGGACCACAAACCAGATTTCGAGGCTAATCCGACTACAAGGATTATAAACCCAACAAGACCTGATATCGGAAAAATTAATAAAATGATCCTTGAAAGGGTAAATCAACAAATTAAAGAAAAAATAGGCCTGAAACTTTGGATTAATACCAAAGACATGACAAACTGGTTTGCTTATATAAAGGAAAAAACGAACTGTACACCAATGCAGTTTGATATTGAAAATTATTATCAATCAATATCTAAAGAACTGTTCATGAATGCTTTGGGCTTTGCTACCCAGTACACGGATATTACAGAATAAGAAAAGAGCATTATTATAAATGTAAAAAAAATCTGATACATGAGAGATAAAAATTTCTTATGACCACTTTGACATCACAATGGGATCACTAGTCTCAGCTGAGTCTTATGATCTCACAGGTCTTTTTATATTATACAATCTTACAGCGCACCTTGAAATTAATATAACTGACATTGGTTTATACAGAGACGATGGACTTATGGTTACAAGGAACTCTACTAACTTTAAGATCGATAAAATTAGAAAGATATTATATAAAGAATTTAAAAGTCTAAACTTAAAAATTACAGTAAGCACCAAATTAAAAAAAGTTAACTTCGTTGATATAAATTATTAAGAAACATAATGCTAATATCTTCAATAAACAATTAGACAAAAACCAAAGAAATTTAGACAATATAAAAATAAAAACAGATGAAGATAAACAAAAATTATGTAACTGTAGAAATCCTCATAACTCTCCTCTACAAAATGAATGTCGCACGGAATCATTAGTATACCAATGCAATATCTCATCTATTGAGAATCCTGAAAACATAAAAATCTATATAGGTTGCACAAGCCATGAGTTCAAAAAGCAGTTCAATCAACACCAAACTTCATTTAGGATAAATAAATACAGAAATCAGACATCGCTTTCAAAGTATTTCTGGCACTTAAAAGAATCAAATAAAACACCTACAGTAAAATGGAAATTAATAAGAAAAGCTAGAATATGTAGGTCATTAAATGACCCATGACCTTTGTGCATACATGGGAAACTATATATTACCAAGTTTATAAAAAACAAAAATTTACTGAATCAGAGAAATGAAATAGCTATTTTTTACCGTCATTGTCAAAAATTTTCCTTAAATAATATTCAAAAATAAAATTAAAAAATGGGAGCTGGTAATATACATATTTATATTTGATAAAAAAAATAATTTTAAATAATGTAAGTAATTCTATTACATTTACTTGTTTTTAAAAAGAAATCATTCATACAAAAAGTAGATTAGTAAAGTTAATGATATAAAATGGCGAAATCCCTTCGCAAACAAAATTTTAAATTTGCATTAACCTACGAACCATTCGATGAATGTTATGATCCTTGTTTTTAATAACTACAGTCTGTATAAGATCTTTTTTAATCTGCTGGTACTTTCAACTGTACACACAGTCATCCTCAATCATGGAAATTATTTTGTTTTTAGTAAAATCCAGGTAACATCAGGGACGAAGAATTAAATGCGAATCGAAATGTGTTTTTTAAAAATGTGTTAGTGTTAACGGATACAAACTTTTGGAACGTGCAGTCGCAACGCTAAGGTTGAAGTTTTTTTTTTTTAAATTTAAGAGAGTGCGTTTTTTACTAATATGGCAATTTGAGAATTTTTGTTGTAGGAGTTTATCAGTCAGTGTGGCATGAACTAAATTGTTCAATAAATAGAGTAATGTCTCAGTTGTTATCCCGAAAATTTGCACATCGGATCAGTTCTTTTAAATCAAATATGTGGTGCAGTTCAATTTATATTACAATGAATCATTCGTACAAAAAACATTATTTACGACGATGGATGAAAACTTTTGTCACGGATACGTTTTTTTTTTTGTTTTTTTTTTTGTTTTTTTTGCTGATTCCTCAAAATATTCCAAAAGTACCCAGACATTGGAATATTAATATTTAAATAATATGTACCGGAAACCAGGAAAATGATCCGAAACAGTGAAAACATCGTTAACTAATAAAAACCTATCAAGAATATATATATATATATTTTTTTTTATGTTTAACGTTGTTTTTTATAGATACAAGTATTTAAGTAAATGCTCTGTTTATGATAAACAGTATTAAATAACATTTACCGGCCTGAATGTCCGAGAAATTTTCATAGAAAATATTCGTTCTTTGACAGGATTCGAACCTGCATCCTATACGGAACCGTCATTAAATAATTAAGTAAATTCGACCTTGTCTACCGAACGATTCTTTGTAGCCGAACGGTAAGGCACGTCAGCGTAAATGACCGTTCCGTATAGGATGCAGGTTCGAATCCTGTCAAAAGAACGAATATTTTCTATGAAAATTTCTCGGACATTCAGGCCGGTAAATGTTATTTAATACTGTTTATCATAAACAAGCATTTACTTAAATACTTGTATCTATAAAAAACAACGTTAAACATAAAAAAATGTCTTTAATAAATAAATTGTCGGACCTTGTCCATTTCTATATATATATATATATATATATATAATTAAGAAATCAGAGACTTCAGAAAGCTATGGTAATATTTTATATTTTGCGAGACCGATAATATTCGGGTTTGCTTCGTGAGACTTTGCGGTTGCAAAACAATGAGTGGATTCAAAAATTCTTCCAGGAATCAACCGAAAAACGAAATGAAATACAAGATTAGCGGAAGTTGTATTTTAAGAGAGTTACACAGAGTAGGAAGGCGAGGAGGGAGGTTTATGCCTGTACGAGATACGATGATTGTGGCGTTGACTTCGAGTTCACCGGACAAGAGAACGGAATAAAGGAATCCCTGGAACTATCCCCACAGATTACCAATTAACTTTCTCATATTATATATATATATATATATATATATATATATATATATATATGTGTGTGTGTGTGTGTGTGTGTGTGTGTGTGTGTACGTACATAGATAGATAGATAGATAGATAGATAGATTTAGGTGAAAAGTGTCTTAACAATTGCTGACGGTTTCTTAAAATGGTATATGTAAATTTCTTTACTTCCACTTTAAGAAATGGTAAATAGAAAAATTCATATCTTCATATCTTGGGGCAAATTCTAAGTGGTGCCATCCAAAGTGTCTCGAATCTAAAATTTCAAGACTTCAAAGACTAGACATCTGCAAAGTCAGATTTTTATCAAACAATTGCCTGCAAGCGAAAACGCCATGAAAGAGTGAAAAAAAATGTA